GGGGGGGGGGGGGCTCAGGCCTACCTGGTCCAGCTTCTCCGGGGTGGGCAGCAGGGACAGCCACTCCAGCCGGAGGTGCAGCTTCCCGGTGGAAACGTCGTCCAGAGAAAACCACTGGAAACAAGAGGGGTATATATATATAAAATATTAGAAACTGGAAACAGGAGGGGTATATATATAAAATATTAGAAACTGGAAACAAGAGGGGCATATATATAAAATATTAGAAACTGAAAACAGGAGGGGTATATATATAAAATATTAGAAACTGAAAACAGGAGGGGTATATATATAAAATATTAGAAACTGAAAACAGGAGGGGTATATATATATAAAATATTAGAAACTGAAAACAGGAGGGGTATATATATATAAAATGTTAGAAACTGAAAACAGGAGCGGTATATATATATAAAATATTAGAAACTGAAAACAGGAGGGGTATATATATATAAAATATTATATATACATATACATACACACACACAATTTAATTTTTTTTTCTCCCTTAACAATTTTTGAGGGCTGTAATTATCTGTGTTACAGGACATTATAAATGTAATTTCATGTCTGCAGATTTTATGTTGCTGTTTTTATGATATATATATATATATATATATATAATTGTTTGTTTTTTTAAAACTCCTTTAATGATTTTGTTCTGGTAAGTGTTCCAAGAGTCCACAAAGTCTGTTCACTATCTATCATGATGAATTTGGTTTTGGTATTTCTTTTGTTCTTTTTTGTTGTTGATTTTTTTATTTTTTTTATTTAGTTTGGTATTTTGGTGGAAAATGTATAAAGTTGATGTCACAAAAAATAAATATATATATATATGAAAAAAGAAGTGAGCTTTTACCAACACCAGCCTGCTGTCTGTGAGTTCTGCCATAAATCTGATATCATGATTAGATCCAAAAAAAGTGGTGTTTGTATAAAATGAGCAATTATCTCTGTATCCCCGGAGTTCTGGTTGCATTTTGACAGCAACCAAACATGAACTGGATGTAAATAAATAAAAACTGGGTAGACAGTGAGCTGTATTTGCTGTCCTCGCCAACTCAAAGACATCGGAGAACTTTAAAAGTCTGAAATTACATAGACTGTTAAAAGGGGGGGGGCTTCACCTCGTCAACCTTCTGCTCCTTCTGCAGTTCGTTAATGTCGATGTCCAAACTGAAACACAAACACAGAGTCAACACAAAATCAGGCTGGAAACCCAAATAACCCAAAAGGTCTTCCTTATTCTACAGCTACAGGAGCCAAACGTCTACAGGAGGCAGAAATATGCTGAATTACTATTAAAGACAGAAAGCAGGAAGGAATTGATCTTCTTTGAGGATCGGAGGCAGAAACAATGAATCGAAAATGTCCAGATTTTCTTAAATTTTCTCTCTATTAAAGACAGAAAGCAGGAAGGAATTCATTAAAGCTACTTTAATAATTCCACCCAATAAAAAACAATGAGACTTTGATCTTGTTTGAGGATCGGAGGCAGAAACAATGAAGATTAAATCAATTCTGTCTCAAATTTAGATGATTTTGTACTGAAAAACAACAGAAAATGCCTCAAAAATGTCCAGATTTTCTTACATTTTCTCTATTAAAGACAGAAATATGGAAGGAATTCATTAAAGCTACTTTAATAATTCCACCCAATAAACAATCAGACTTTTCTTTGATCTTCTTTGAGGATAGGACGCAGAAATAATGAAGATTAAATCAATTCTGTCTCAAATTTAGATGATTTTGTACTGAAAAACAACAGAAAATGCCTCGAAAATGTCCAGATTTTCTTTAAAATTTTCTCTATAACCATAATCCTATTAAAGAAAAAAAGCAGGAAGGAATTCATTAAAGCTACTTTAAAAATTCCACCCAATAAACAATCAGACTTTGATCTTTTTTGAGGATCGGCAGCGGAAATATTCAAGATTAAATCAATTCTGTCTCCTGTTGAGGTGATTTTGTACTGAAAAACAACAGAAAATGCCTCGAAAATGTCCAGATTTTCTTAAATTTTCTCTCTAACTCTATTAAAGACAAAAAGCAGGAAGGAATTCATTAAATCTACTTTAAAAATTCCACCCGATAAACAATCAAACTTTGATCTTCTTTGAGGATCGGAGGCAGAAATATTGAAGATTAAATCAATTCTGTCTCAAATTTAGATGACTTTACACTGGAAACAACAGAAAATGCATTCAGCCTCTCAAAAACGTCCAGATTTTCTCCTAAAATTTCTCTCTATTAAAGACAGAAAGCAGGAAGGAATTAATTAAAGCTTCTTTAATAATTCCAGCTGATAAACAATCAGACTTTTCTTTGATCTTCTTTGAGGATAGGAGGCAGAAATAATGAAGATTAAATAAATTCTGTCTCAAATTTAGATGATTTTGTACTGAAAAACAACAGAAAATGCCTCCAAAATGTGCAGATTTTCTTTTAAATGTTCTCTATAACCTTAATCCTATTAAAAACAGAAAGCAGGAAGGAATAAATTAAAGCTACTTTAAAAATTCCACCCAATAAACAATCAGACTTTGATCTTCTTTGAGGATCGGAGGCAGAAACAATGAAGATTAAATCAATTCTGTCTCATTTTAAAATGATTTTACACTGAAAAACAACACAAAATGCATTCAGCCTTTGGAAAACGTCCCGATTTTCTCTTAAATTTTCTCTCTAACCCTATTAAAGACAGAAAATCTTTACCTCCCCAGGTAGTCGTCTTTATCCGTGTCCTCGTCGAAGAGCTCGATGTGCACGTTGTGCGCGTTGTCGTAAATCAGGGCCTGAAAGCACAGAGAGGATAAAAGAGAATAAAAAAATATAAATAATATCTGAGAAGATTTAGAAACAAAACCAGGCACATCCCGATCCAGATTCCTGATCCCGGCCTATTATTATTAAAGTTTAAAGTTATGTATCTACTTACTTAGCTGTCAGACTCATGTTGAACAGGGATTTACTCAGATAACAACTTAATGGTTAGGACACAGACCTGTGGGTTAGGAGATGCTAATGCTAATGCTAATACTCTGATAACTTAATGGTTAGGACACAGACCTGTGGGTGACAGATGCTAATGCTAACGCTATTGCTCTGATAACAACTTAATGGTTAGGACACAGACTTGTGGGTTACAGATGCTAATGCTAACGCTAATGCTCTGATAACAACTTAATGGTTAGGACACAGACCTGTGGGTTAGCAGATGCTAATGCTAATGCTCTGATAACAACTTAATGGTTAGGACACAGACCTGTGGGTTAGGAGATGCTAATGCTAATGCTAATGCTAAAGGCTGTGCTGGACAATGACCGGACATTAGGGAACACAGCAAAGAGGAATGGGTTATTTTAATCTATGTGCTGGAAAACACGGATCAGACTTTAAAAAATGTATTTTTTATTGGATGGGGTGTCTAGACAGGCAAATGAACCAAATTACGTTAATTTTTGTTAATTTTTTATGGGCTTTCCATGGTTTTTCTTAGATTTACTAACTTTCTGGGGTCTGAAGCTCTTTTATACTCCACCTCTTCGTCTTTTTCGTAAAATAATCCCACACACTTGACATTTTACATCAAAGTGGAATAGATTATTTTAATTGGTGTGCTGGAAAACACGGATCAGACTTTTTTAAAAACTGGATCGGGAGTCTGGATCTGTATTTTCTCCTGCCGGCTGATACACATTTTTTTGCTAATTATTGCTGATCTAATCCAAATATCGGATCGGGACGAGCCTAATATAAGGTGTTTTTAACTCACTGCCAATTATTCAGAGTATAAAACACAGACCAGATTAGATCCAACATGAATATAATGGTGAAATACGATCATTTTTCAAAGTGCTTTTACCCTAATTTGTCCTAATTTATACATATACCTATATATACATGTATATACAGTGGGGGAAATAAGTATTTGACCCCTTGCTGATTTTGCAGGTTTGCCCACTTACAAAGAATGCAACGATCTATAACTTTAATCATATGTACGTTCTAACAGTGAAAGACAGAATCCCAAAGAAAATTCCAGAAAATCACATCATATGAATTTATAAAAATTGATAACCATCTGATGAGGAAACATAAGCATTCTTTGTAAGTGGGCAAACCTGCAAAATCAGCAAATAGTCAAATACTTATTTCCCCCACTGAATATTTTTTATCTAGACAAAAGGTCCCAAAAATATCCGGAAAAGGCCTCGGACTGACCTCGTACACCTCGTTCCACTTGGGGTGGACGGTGTCGTGGATGACTTTGCTCTGGAAGATCTGCGTCCCCACCTCGATGACCCCATAGGGGTCCGACTTGCCTTTGATCAGACCCCCCAGGAACTTGTCCTTCCCCAGGAGGTCCTGGGCCTCCAGGAAGTGGATCCTCAGCACCCCCTGGAGGAGCAGCAGAGCACGGATTAGCTTAACTTAAATCAGGATTTAAATGAAGCAACTGGAGCTAAACTAAAAGGTTAAAACACATAAATAATAACAATATCGTTTGTTTTGTTTCCAGGAGCTAGACAAGCAGCTTTGAGGCGTCAAAATGCAGAAAAAAACTAAATACGCTCCTTTTAAACAGGAAGCAGGTAAAAAAACGAACAAAAAAACATTTTTTTCTTTTTTTTTTAAAGCATAAAATATCATTCGAAGCCACAGGTTGATTAACAAGACTGTTTTTCTACTTTCTAACCCACAGATATGGAGAATCAGACTCACAGAAAAAGCCTTTTATCCAAAATAAAAGCTCACAGCGTCACAAAAAAGACCCAATCAGCTCTAAATCAAAACAGTATCTTATCTAAAAAAAAAAAAAAGAGTCTTCTATTATCTGGAACTAGAAATTACAATTTTTTCTGTATTTATAGAGGAAAAAAAACCCAAAAGATGGGTTTCCTTTATATTTATTATGAACATTTAAAGGTTTTATACCAGCTCCCATCAGCAGGGGGCGCAGAAGAGCCTTTTAGTTTAACAGAAAATGAACTTCAAACTACAGAAAATCAATTCCATTTTAAACAAAGTGCTGAAATGATTCATTAATAAAATAACAAAAAATATGAAAGAAAAGAAAAAAAAATTGGAAAAAAATCTGCTTTTGTGCTCCAACTGGATTTTATGACCGAGTTGTGGGTCATTTAGCCCCATTTTTCTCCATTTTACCAACAATGTTTTCTGTGAGATTAAAAATTAGAAAAATAAAGTAAAAACAAAAAATTAAATAATCACAGAAGCTGCAACTGGACAGGAACAAAAACTGACTTTAAAAAAACTATTTAAAAAAGGATTTTGTTATTTTCTGCTCTTTTGTGGACAATAACCTCACAAAAAGGTGCCAGCTGGGATGGTGTTTATGTTTATGTTTGCGTTTGTATTGTTGTTTATGTTTACGTTGATGTTTGTGTTTATGCTTATGTTGGTGTTTATGTTTACATTTATTTGGTGTTTATGTTTATGTCTGTGTTTATGTTGGTGTTTATGTTTGTGTTGGTGTTTATGTTGGTGTTT